AATTAAAATTTACAATTTACGTATCTTTTTAAGTAAATTTGCCGTAGTAAATCAAAAAATGTACCTAAATTTTGTCCAGTGTAAATTTAGGTAATCAGCAGACTTAGGGTATCAGTGTGGAATGTCACACGATGATCTTTTTGGTAAGAGTACCGATTCAGCAAGGCATGAAATCCATGCTTGGACTTGGTTTCATTGAGCAAGAACTACCCGACCTCGAACACGAAGGGATTTCGGCCAAGGCTCATTTCCCGGTCCGATAGGCTTTCGTCTTCGACTCACCACCTGTCCTGACCAAGGAAACGCAAAACGAATCGTCTGCCTGCAAATCCGGAAGGAATACAGGTTTCCAGGTGTATTGAGGTCTCCAATGCTAGCAATGGCCTCCAACCTACTAGCCATGGCCTCCAACCTAGCAATGGCCTCCAACCTACGCATGGCCTCCAACCTACTACCCATGGCCTCCAACCTACTAGCCATTGCCCAACCTACCAACGATGGCCTCCAACCTACTAGCCATGGCCTCCAACCTACCAGCGATGGCCTCCAACCTACCAGCGATGGCCTCCAACCTACTAGCCATGGCCTCCAACCTACTACCGATGGCCTCCAACCTAGTAGCGATGGCCTCCGACCTACTAGCCATGGCCCCCAACCTACCAGCGATGGCCTCCAACCTAGTAGCGATGGCCTCCAACCTACCAGGCATGGCCTCCAACCTACCAGCGATGGCCTCCAACCTACTAGCCATATGGCATCCAACCTACTAGCCATGGCCTCCAACCTACCAACGATGGCCTCCAACCTACTAGCCATATGGCATCCAACCTGCTAGCCATGGCCTCCAAGCAAGAAACGCCCAAGAAGGCTAGGCGGTCGAGTAGACCTGTTCAGTAAACAATCACCCTAGAAAAGACAAAGGACATAAACCCATTATGAACAGTCTCTGCGTCGCCTTTGGTTGTCAGGATGTCTGCACCTGCCACAAAGCGGACCTTTGTGTTCGTCAGCAGGCCCGTGTTCGTCTGCCTGCCAAGAGTTCGTCTGCAAACGAAATAATCATCATGAATCATCACAGCCTATCAGATATGACTCTGACAGTACTCTTTCGTTGATCGTTTGATTCCCGCCTTTTTGTTGAGGTGCAAGATCAGCCAGTTTTTGCCTGGCTGCTGGCCTCATGGTTACAAAACTACGATGGAGGCCATCGATTCTAGCACCAGTCTTTCCCGCCTGATTCCGGGATCTCACGACACATGTATGTGGGACAGCCATCTTCGGTATCTAGTAGCTCGTAGGCGTACTCTCCGTCACCTCGGTAGAACGACGCGGCATCACCCAGGCAGGAATGGTTCCGATGAAGACGCTGCGGTCAAACTACCTCCTGTGGCTATCAGTGTGGAATGTCACACGATGATCTTTTTCGTAAGAGTACCGGTTCAGCAAGGCATGAAATCCATGCTTGGACTTGGTTTCATTGAGCAAGAACTACCCGACCTCGAACACGAAGGGATTTCGGCCAAAGCCCATTTCCCGGTCCGATAGGCTTTCGTCTTCGACTCACCACAATGGACAAGGCTGGGTCATAGCTGGGGTCCAATTGATTGCAATTATTTTGTCTAACTTCTCACTGTTGAAAGTTCCAGAGTTTGATACAAAGAAATTTCTTACACCAGTTTCAATCTTGGAAGCTCCAATCCCTCCTCCAGGAGATTCCCCTGGTCATCCCCATCACTCTGCTTCTCCCTGTTCTCAGAAATAAACGTCGCCACGGGAAGACCCGGGTCTTCCGGACCGGACGAGACGAGACGACGATCTTCGCCGAAGGCTCCGAAGATCTCCACTTTGCCTTCAGCCTTATTGAGCTCCACCTGGAGCGGCCGTGTCCCACACGCCCAGCCCTTGTGATGCGACCCCAACCTGTTCGCCCCTGGAAAGGGGACGGTCCAGATTTAGACCTCCCTTTCAGTCACGCTGACTGGCTGCGCACCTGTTTCAATGCTGACTCATTCAAGTTCCTTGCATCCCCAAGCAAAAGAAGCACAACGCCTGGAACCTTTTCACTCTCTCCTTCTCTCCCCACCTTCGTCCCACCCGTCGACCTTGCCCGCGCCTTGGCGCCGCTCTCGGACTCGATGACCCGCACCGTTTCACCCTTGCGGCCCAGGACTTTGCCCACTTCCTGGAGACACCGACGGGTGACGCTTCCAACGGACGAACATGGGCGGGAGGCGGCACGGTGCCGGTGCCACTATGGGTGGCGCAGGTGTTGGTTTCTTATAGACATCTGATGTCATCCAGATGATCCAGATGTATATGTTTGGTTGGTTATAGTATTGGATGGTTCAATTTGATTGTGCCACCCACTGGCAGAATTCAGCACAAGATGTGGATAAATTCTTCCATATTCTTCCGTGGTTACGCTGCCATGCACGGTGCCGTAATCCAGACTGGTCTACATTTGGGGGTGCAGCATCTTGCTTTAAACTCCCGGGATTCGTTTTCGTACCCTCTCAGAAGGTGATTGGAGACAGTTGATCACATTTGTGTAGGTTTGGAGGATCCAGCCGTACCTTCTGAGAAGGTACGACAACGGATCCCTATATGTCAAGTGAAGTCTTCGTTCTTGACGGTGCCCAACGACCTGCACGTCAACGACGCTGCGAGACCCCGAAGAGAACGCCCACGTGAACGCCCCGTCGACAGCCACGACAGACGGGGCGTCCACTGATGGACTCGAGCGTCCTCCGGCAGAACGGTAATCACACGCTGCAGATCGCCTTTGGACTCCTGGAGACATGGGAGGTTCAGATTCAGATCATACACAAAGAATCCATATGATTGTGGTTTTCTACTCTCCGAGTCATGAGTCCATGGATAAAACACATGGAACATGCCCCACCTGTTTGTAGAGAAACATGGAAGAGCCATGGGGCCTGCCGGCCTGTTCCAGATTCGATTTCGCGGTTTGAGGGGTTGAGGAACACTTCGTGCTTGGAGGATCCCGAGACTCGGCCCGCGGTTCGGGATCAAAGGCTCTTCGAACAACTCCCGATCTTCTCCAATCTTCGAACAACTTGACTACCCACTTCATAAATTGTAGAACAAAAGTATACAAAAGACAAAACACACGCATTTGTGGTACACATCTAAGACTCTAAGACTCATCATCAATTCATGGTGCTAAGGACTCCACCGTTGCCGGCCCGGAACCGGCCTTCACCTCGGAACCGCGCCGTCGGACGGGAGAGCCCCGCGTAACCCGTTCTCCTGGTTCGAACCTCGGACGTCTTTGATCACGTCCCCTCCGTCTTGACCTCAAATCGATGTGCAACGGACGCCCCCGGCATGGGATTCATGGAGACCCCGAATCACCTCCGGCAGGGGCTTGTTGTTAGGTTACGGGAGCCCTATAGATTCTTTCTCAGAAAACTAATCCCACACGAAACAAATGTCAAGGGTCAAGTTGTATATAGCCGATGTCTTCAGTAGAAAGAATCATATAGAATAATTGCTGATTCGCTTACTTGCCGTTCCACCACGTGATGTCCACCACACTTCAGCCCAGGTTCCACCAGGTTCGTCTTCAATGACACATGAGCAACAGTGTCCAGAAGGGTCCATCTTCCATCCGGATCTTCCATTTCAACTTCACCAAGCAACCAAACGCTAGATCGAAGCAAGCATCTTCCGTTAAAAAAAGAAACGAACGCCGCGCCACGTAACGCCGATGGTTCCCCCACTTCCCTCCGGCTCCCGACGGCAGTAGAGGACCTTCTCGCAGATCAGATCCAGCGCGGCATCCTGGTCCTCGCGGCGCCCCACGATGTCCACGGATCGCTCCTTCGTCTCCTGAGGTGAAGAACATCCGCTGGAAGAACATCCATGGAATCCACATATAGTGGTGTCATCCAGGATGTGTAATCATATAATTGGATGTGTCATGTATCATTGGTATCAAAAGGGAGAGAAACGAAAAACAATGATACATAAGGTTCCATGCCAGGGCCCTCGGTTTGGGGTGGTTCATGGACACCCCTTAACCTCTAAGGAGCTATCATTAGACATCCTCCCTTAGGAGGCCCAGGTATGGTTCCATTCAATTTGGAACTTTGCAGGATCGAGAGACACGTGGAGGAGTAGCAACAGTCTGTACAATGGCAACTATTCTAACAACTGTTCAGGGAGCCAGTGTTCTTCCTTGGACATCAATGGACATCAATGGACACTTCGACTTCCAGCAATGCAAAGGAAACCACGATCACTGATTGGACTACTGACTACGCTATATGTTATACACAACTGACTACACCGTACACCGTACGACTGTACTCCAAGGCACAGCATCCATGTCTTCCTCTTTGGAGACTTGGATCCGAGTACTCGTCCTCACGCCGCGTTCAGAGAGGCCCCCTCGGCCTTTCCCGGAGCCGTTCCAGCAGGTGACCGGACGGGACGAGCCGTTCGTTTGGAACAATAGAGGGTTCAGGGGAACAAAGAACACCTGTTGGTTTTGCGTGGGGGGTCCCAAGTTCCCACTTCTGGGTTTGGGAGTTTTTTCAAGGTTGGAGCCACCTACTTTTCGGTGACATCTCTGTGATACACACGAGGAACCGGAAAACTTGGCACCATGCTGGTTTGGAAGCTGAGAAAAGAATGCAACATTTTCCCAGAAGAACAATCTTCTGATTCGAAGATGGCCTTTTCAATAGTTGTTTCATGATAATGTTTCTTATTCGAGACAGGTGACGAGACATGCCAGCCCACAAATCATGTTAATTCAGGGGTAGAACCCATCATGGCAATCACGTCCAGGGATACCCATTGGAAACTCACATCAATGTCTCCATTGATATCCACATGTCCCCACTGTGCCAAAACTTACAAGCATCCTTTGAACCTTTCGAACCATCTTCTGCTTAAAAACCATCCTTCCAAAGCCATCCACACACTCCCACCATGCCAAATTGGCGCTCTTAGCTCCTCAGGACCCGTCCGACCTGTCCTGTTCTCGATCTCCCTCAACGCCCGGCCGCTCCGTCCGATGACCTTTGCCGCATCACTGTGCAGGATCCAAACGCGGGCCTCGGGGTGGCCGGGCACTGGCCGGTGGGTTGGTGTTGGAAGGGTCGCCCCTGTTATTCTGTTGGTTGATTCTGCAGTCAGTTGTTGATAACAGTCAGTTGTTGATTCCCCAACTGTTTCTTAGCTTGAACTTCTTTGAACATGATGGAGTTCGTGCCTACAGCTATAGTTGTTTGATCAGTCTACATTTGCCAACGTAACTTGTTGCATCTCTCCTTTTTGGTTAAAAGAAAGCAACTCCCTCGTCGCTCAGCCTCGCCTCCGTCTCCGGTGGTTCATACCGGCCAAGAGGGATCGCATTTACTCCACCACGACCACGCGGCGAACGGGAGCGACTGTCGAAGTCGGCCTGACCGCGCGGATGGGCATTTTCGGTGGGCATTGGGTGCTGCTAAAAGCTCTAATTGAAATGGATCTAATTTAGATCTGTATATTATTGTATATTTAGAGATCTAACATGATCCAACTGACCAAAACCATTTTAGGTCTTTAACTTAGCCATGATCATTCTGCGGAATATGCTGGAATGAATGCCAACAAAACATGACCGCAGCCCACTATGGCAAACATGTGTGTATGTACTAAACAACATTTATTGTAGCTGAACAGCAAGCAAGATAAACCCCAACCAAAAACACGGGAGAACACATAATTTACAAAGCAAAGCTCTAAGTGGAACCATCATCAAATGGCCTTCCCAGCCCTTCCTCACCTGCGATCCAAAGGAATCATAGCTCGCAGCCCTCGAGTCATAGTCCCTTCGAAGGCGCCGCCTCCGCCGCCGGTGCCGCACGGGCGGCGACCGCGAGTCGCGAGCCCCGCGGTGCTCCACACGCCGCCGCGGCGGCGACTCCCAGGAGGGCGAGCGGCGCCGCGTCAGCCGCGTCCGAGCCATGGCGAGGGTCGCGCGGCCGGACCCCCCGCGCTGAGGCGCATGGGTCGCGCGACGGCGGGGCGGTGTGGGGCGGTTTGGGAACAGAATGACGGCCTGAGATGCCTGCGGAGTAAAGATGATCTTGATCGGAAGGAACAGAATGAAGGGAGATCAGGATTCTTCAGGGACAGTTCAATG